AACATAAGACTGAAGAGGGTAGGCGTCAGCACGCATCCCTGCTTCACTCCGTTGGTCACTGCGAATGGCTCTGAGACGGCTCCGTTGTCCGTGACTCGCGCCATCATGCCGTCGTGAAGCTGACGCACCATATGAATGGATCGCTCGGGACAGCCGAATTTCTGCATGATCTTTTACAGTCCTTCACGATTCACCGTGTCGAACGCTTTCGTTAGGTCAACGAAGGTAGAGTACATGTGGGTCCGCATCTCCTGGCACTCCTCCTGAAGTTGACGGGTGGCGAAGATCATATCCGTGGTCCTACGATGACGACGGAAGCTGCATTGGCTTTCCGGCAGAAGGCCCTCTTCTAGATGGTTATTGAGACGGTTGGGGAGGATTCGTGCGAAGATCTTCCCGGCGATGTTCAGCAAGGAGATGCCGCGGTGATTGTCGCAGATTTGGCGGTTCCATTTTCCCTCGTATAGGTGCACGATTGTTGCGTCCTTGAAACCTTGCGGGACTTCACCTTGACGCCACATCTCCTGGAAGAGATGATGCTGATGCTGCTGCTGCTGCTGCTGCTGCTGCTGCTGCTGCTGATGATGATGATGATGATGATGATGATGATGATGATGATGATGATGATGATGATGATGATGATGATGATGATGATGATGATGATGATGATGATGATGATGATGATGATGATGATGATGATGATGATGATGATGGCGGTGGTGATCATCATCATCATCACTTTTCGTGACTCGGTTTAGGATGCATGACTGCCACCCCGGAATGGCTGACCACGGGACATGCTCCTCCCGCTCTTCTGGAGTCCCGCTTGCAGTCGCATAGCTACCAGTAATACACGCAGTTGGAAATTACCAACAAAGACAAGGGAGACTGCAATAGTCATTTCTGGTTTAGTATTCATACCAATCCCAGACTTGGGACGTCTTGGATTCGAACCCAGAACCTTCGTTCATTGGGTTTAATTTTCTACCATTCGGCCACAGACACGCTGTCTTGCTGACAAAGACCAAAAATATTAACCACGTCGGAATTTTGTCCACCGGTCGGGCTATGAGATGGGCGAATCCCATTATGCATTGGGTCTCTATTTAGAGCCCGAAGGCATCGCCTTCGAGCTTATTTGAGAACAGCCTAGTAGCCTCAGCGAAGTTCAAGGCTTTGGTTTGGGATTGTGGTCTCTGATACAAAAAGACCCACTGGCGACCGTTTGTAGACAAGAAAGGTTTGTGTATGCATATGCCCATTCCCAGCACCAGGCGACTGACCGGCTCGGACAGTGGCTGAGGCCTAGGAATGGGAGGTCGCTATAAAAATCCGACGCGCTTGAAGATATCATGGTGCGCTAAAAGTCGTGGCTTGATAGGTTACCAACTGACGAGATAACCCGGATCTCGTAGTCAGTCCACTGTGCGCTTGTGAGGGTGGCGGACTGTCAGACTGCAATGGCTCTCTTTATGGAACCTCCGCCTAATGGGTTCCGAGCCGGGTGCGGCGGCACGCCTAGGGGCTGCTCCGGTCGCGCCAGTCAACTGCGTCATCTCCCGCCTTGACGGCGGGCCCAGGTGGGGTAGAGGAAGTACAGTAGGTGCTGCGCAAGTCTACTCTCGCCATAAATAAATCCCGCACAAGTCATCGTCCTTGACCTCACCCTGCTGTGGAGCAAACGACGGACATCGTCGGGTATGGCGGTCGAACCGTCACCTATACATATATCGCTCGAACGAGACCGCTCCCATCGGGACAGATGCTGGTATGAGATTCGGAATAGCTCGTGCAAGAATTCATAGAGTGCTTTTCAGTCATAAAATGGAGAATTGCCCATTTTGCTTCAAGGCGTCAGTGTCAAGCGAGAACTGAACACTTTTTGAAGGGCAAATGGCCCTACGTCCAATTTGCTCATTTTTTGCGCCGTCATCTATAGGCCCGAATTTTGCGCCTTTTAAAATGCGTTCATTGAAAACCTTTTCACCCGGCAGATACAAAATCAGCAAGTGTGGGACGAATTGCAGCTGCTTGCTACGCAGGGCACACGCTACATTTGACACACACACACACACGCACACAAACCTCGTTTCATTTTCATAGCCTGAGAAAGGAAGAGATAGAGAGCACGATGAGTGACTGTGGGAAATCACTTCCCACCAAGGGTCTGCGATGAAAAGTTGACGTTTTCTTCCGTCTCCACCATCAACCATTCCTGGCCGATCAAGAGTGTGATTCTGCAAAAGTTATTTCATTCCTTCTTATAACTGACCTAGGACTAACATCAAATTCTGCTAGAAGTCAGGACATTTAGACTTTTAAGAAGGCGACATAAACTGGTTGCGTTCAGGAACAGAACAGCGCTCCTTCTCTACTTTTCAAAGGGACACTATGCCCAAATGTCCGTCGTCAGAGGGACTGTTCGGACGTTGCAAGGATTTACGTCAGAATCCTGGCTGTCGCCTGAATGTGCGGAATCATAAAACTTGCGTCAAATTACCCTCAGATATGCTAACTTTAAGATATTCAAGCTTCTACAAAGACAGATACTTCCGGCTATGCGGAAGGTCTGTTTTACGAATTTTATCAGTTTATGACGTTATTCGTTACGTATTTTGAAGCAGGCGAATGGCCAATAGCAAAGATCTCGCTGAAATTGCGAGTGAATATCGATGGTGAGCGTGTAAAAATTGCCCATTAACGATGTCCACGAGGCAGAGGCAACCACGAAGCGGGGGCTTTTCCGTATCGTTCGACAGAAATTTTCTGGCAGCCACAAGGGGGAGGTAGTGTCTGAGTACTTCATGGTTTTTAAAGTGGCGCACATTGATCTGCTTCTTTCGCAGGACTGAATACGAAGGTTATATCTTCCGTAGGTAAAGTACCAACGAAGACAAGGGTGCCGGAGTGACCATTTCCAGCTTATTAGCCGTCGTTAGTCAGTGGTACCTTAAAATCCGGTTTGAATAGCCTGGTCTTCGAACTCGCCTTCTTTGGCTATCAAGCGTCATTAAGTCCAACAATTTGCCGCTGAGTTACGGGCCCATTGTCCTGTCGGGCACGATCGGGAATACTGGCTGTGTGGGAAGTGCGTTCGCCGATTGGCTCACGAGACCTGTTCGTCCCGTTGTCCAATGGGAATCAGTGTAGAGTCCATACAGGCAGTCGCACAGCGACTATTAGTATACGCTTGTAGTGAGATACTTATAAAGACAAGGGGGACGTGGATGACCGTGAACCTCGAACAACGCGCTCTCTTGATTACTAATTCAATGCTGTAATCAAGAAATGGCAATCTCCATCTCCCCACCTTTGTGGGTATTTTATTTCTGCATCTACATACTAGCCGTTATGCGACTGCTTGCAAGGCCTCCACAACAGGCACAACAGGACGGACCGGTCCTGAAATCCTATCCGTGGGCGCGTTTCCATCATAGTTTTGTATTCTATTAGAATTCTCGTCTACAGACCTCGCAGGCTAGTGCACACTGACAGACATCCATCAGTCAGTACTGCCGACAGTGGCAACAGAGGCACCTTTCGACTCATTTGCTATTGCCAGCCATCCCCACGCCGATCTCTGGTCAGCAGGACCTGTGGTTTATACCGGGTCCACCAAGTAAATGCGCAAACTCTCTGGCCCTCGGCAGTGGGTCCCTGATTGGAGATATTCAAGGTCCCGACTGGGCCTTCTCGGTCCCGTGTTGTGCTATGACTTGCTGACGGCAGGAAATAAATCATAGGTGGGAGTGCCCCTCCCCTTCGCTGTCTTTTGTATTTCCTCAAGACATCACTCGATTGCTTCCTGGTCTTTCAAAAACTGCAAGCAAAACAGCATTTCTGTGGTCCCCAGCCGTCAAAGGTATTTGAAAAATTTCACCGTTTCTAGACTGTCCTCCAGGTTCGCGGGCTGCCTGGAGTCATTGTTTAGCCTGGCTTGACTACTGTCCTGTTCTAAACTGATTTGTTCATAAGTCATCTTTGTTCAATCCGTCTGTGCTGGAAAAATGATAGTTCGACTATTTGTTTGAGCCCAAGTAGAACGGAGGTGGGAGTGGGCTTTCATCTCGTAGACAATATTTCCTGCCTTGAAAAATGCCCTTGATCCCTGAACCCTCAGTATTCGTTGACCTTAAACGATGCTTTCGATCCGAAGAAGAATGATATCCGTCAGCGATTTGGCCGTCTTATCATCTTACATAAATCACACCGAACCCTCTCAAGAGGAAGTCAGCAGAAAGTCTATGGGAGGCACAGACCTTGTATCAGCAGAGTAAAGATGAGTAACATTTTCCCAATGACACTTTAACCTACCTTGCGAACGATGTGCGAAGAAGGTTGTTCGAATTCGTCTGAGCGTTCAAATTAATACACCTGACAGTTCGGCCGTCGTGCTCGAAGATGTCCACTGTGTGCTCCACAGCAGGGTGAGAGCAGGCACGGCGACTTAAGCGCGAATTAGTTTAAAGTGATGGTAGACTTGCGCAGCATCTACCGCACTCTCTCCTCCCCCACCCGAGCCAGGTTTCACGATCAGGTCAAGAAAGGCGGAGGTGAGAGAGGCCGCAGGTGGCTGGAACAGCAAAAGCCTGCACCTAGACGTACCACTACATCCCCTGGCTCATAACAAACATAAGGTCAAAATTTCATATCGCAGCAAAATAGGGGACGGCTCGGATCCTTCGGCTTTAGCGCGCCGTGATAGCCTCAAGCGCGTAAGATTGAAGCTAGTGACGGGAATGCGCTGAGTCGTCTACTAGCAGTCAGTTCCGCAAAGCCATCGATCCCGACTCCATGAAATTTCTAGTGGACATAACAATCAATAATCTGGAGTCAACAAAAGAGCTAAAAGAATTCATCATCGAGACAGTCAGAACAAGGTAATTCATGCAATGCCGTCCCAGCACATGCCGTTCCTGAATGCAGACCCGCTCATGGACTATCCAGGTGACTGGAAGAATGCCTGTGGGAATTATTCGACGCTTTATGACATAGTGTCTTGCTTGTTGTCAGTTTCTTCCAACAATTCCGTGACGGCATGATATTTCCAAACTAAAATAATGCTATCGCCTGGCGTTCCCTTCCTGATTACAGTAGGTGAGCAAAATCATGAAATGTCAACCGAAATTCCGAAATGTGTTTTCGTTTCGAGGAGATTAATTATGTAGAGTTGTAACATTTATCATCTTGCCGCGTAATTCTAAAATAATTCAGTTGCCCCACGATGCTAGCTTTCGATCGAATGTCTTTTCGGCCGCATTCAAAACCACACTTTGTAAAATGTCACTACTCAAGTAACAGGAATTTCTTAATTGATTTTCAATCCCCTTAAATATTCAGTATTTCATAGAAAACATGCGTAAAAGTATTCAACCTTTTACTCATTCGGTAGAAAATTACATCAACTTCCAATTTTAAACCCAAAGAAAGGGTATAATGCGGTTTTTAAAAACATTTCCAATTCCCGAATAATTTTGAATCCGACTTGCCTTTACACCTACATTCAGGGTTTCCAAACTACAAATCGCATATTTTCCGCGTACGAAAACCCATACATTTCTCTACGGTACTAAGAGGAGACCATATGGGGTTCATAGAAGTTAGCAGTGGATTTGAGCCACAGTGTTAAATTTGCAGGCAACATTGATAAATGCAGAGACACGACGTTTTATAAACGGCCATTTCACGGTAATAAAAATCTCAAAATTAGAACATTTTTTTTCAAAACCGAATTATACCCTTTCTTCT